GCTGGTGTTCACAGTGTGTATTGCACTTGTTCCCAGCGTTTTCACAGTCTCCCTGCAGTCCTCAAACTCAAGGGTTCATAAAAATCCCCCGAACAGTTTCTTAAAATGCAGCTTCTTAAGCCCCTCATAGATTCAGACGCTATACTCCTGCGTGATGGCATTATGTGAGTCCAAAGCCACCATCCTTTTTCCATCTCCTGATCAATCTCATTCAAGAGAACTTCATTGTGCATATGAATCACAGTGATCTTGTTAAAGTACAGATTCTGGGGGCAGCAGTTTGGGGAGGGAGCCAGAGATTCTGCATTTCTTCCAAGCTCCTGGGTAGCTTTATACCCCCATTTAAAACCTAAGCATTTCCACTTCTTTATGTAGCTGGATCACCACAGCCTGAATCCTTAGTTTACAAAATGTGACTTACGGATGTTTCTCACTCAGTGTTTACAATGGTTTTGTTTAAATCTTCCCCTCATCCCTGTTCTCTGCTTTGTCTACAAGCGTCCTGAAAGATAGTCACAGCCACCTCAAAAGAAGTAGCTCAGGACAAAGCAGGCTGACATCCTATGAAAGTCCTGCCTAAACCCATTCCTGTTCCTTTATAAACCAAACTATTTCCTGGTACCAAAGAGACAGGAGGGCCCAGGGTGGTATCACCCCATAAGCACTGGGCATGTATGCGGGAACCAAAGCTCCTTACGGCATCATCACCTCCCTACAAGAACAGATTTCAATAATGATGATGACGATGATGCTCTTGATGATTATGAAGATGACAGCTAACATTTATTGTGCACTTGCTAAGTGCCATGCACTGAGTTAAATTCTTTACATCGATTATTTTATACAATGAAGAGATATACTATCGTTGCCTCCATTGTAATGATGAAGAAAGAGAGAAGGGCAGTGTCATATCTAATATCACAATTAAAATCCTTAGACTTATGAATCACAAACTAAAAATCAAAATATTAAACTGAGAGCTCCTCTTCTATTATCTCCTCTATATAGTCTATACATTTTAATAGTATTCTTTGCTGCATAAATATCAGTGAGAAGACTGGGTTGTGTCAGAAATGCATCAAGCTGTTCATAACGCCAACATCTGAGTGGCTTAGGATTGTTTCAGTTTGGAAATGCACCTTTTCCTTCTTTCCAGTCCCAAAATTACACAGTGAGAGACCGAAAAGGAGGTCAGAAACATATTACATTCACTTTCTATAACTTCCACGTGTTGCCCTCTAGCCATGCATGGCTAGAACCTATACAGTCTTCCCAGAAAAATCTTGACTTTTCTAGAAATGACCAAAACACAGGCCTACCTTAAGATCAAATACTAAAGAACTGTCACATCACTGATACAGGCAATTTAAAAAGACGGTTCTCAACAGTTGAGTTCTGTGACCAAGTCGAAGAACAAAAACGAAATGTTCACATGCTTTTTCTTTTATCTATACCCTTTTTAAAATTTCTACGATATCCTTCTTTTACATATAATTCCTTGCAACAAGGTAATAATAGTTCCATTCAACCTTTCTTATAACACAGAATATTCTCTCCAAACTTCTAATGTGCTTTAGATGTGCTTGGTTGAGCAGAAAATATTCCATCTTGTCACTTTTGATATATAACTCTATTGTCTTTACCAAAAGAGCTAGCAGCAAACCAGAGTCTTTGTGAGCACTTAGTGATGACTATATATTCCATTCTGTGCTTCAGTATGCATCCTTTGTTCTTGAGAACTACTGTTTTCTAGAATAAGAAGGAAGTCACGTGTTTATCAAAAAGCGTTACTGCGGGCAGCTGTGAAAGTGAGATGAGAAAGGAAGCCCCAAGGATTACATATTGGTCCTTGAATAATCTCAGAATCTGGTACTTGCATCAATCTTTGTAGTTCTGTGATGGCCCTGCTTTGTCTCTGAAGAATAAGAACAATCCAAGAGAAAATGAAAAAAAGAAAGCGAGTAGATAAGGGGGAATCTACATAATAGTCGAAGGACAGCTACTCAGCTCCCTCTTCTCCTTAGCTTTATTGTTGTGGAAGGAGTAGAGATTTGGGAGCCACATAAATCCAAGTCTGAACCTCACAGCCATCACTTCATGTGGTTGAATGGCATCAGGCAGTCTTCTCAGCATATCTGAGTCTCAGTTTCTTCATTTAGGCAATGTAGGCACTGCTGCTTTCCCAGGCAAGTTGTTGGGTTGGCAGATGTTAAGTATGGAGCCTGGTAATAGAACAATGAAAAGTGGCTGTTCCTAATGGTAGCTTATTGTTAATTGTCACCATTTCTTTGCCTGTTCAACTTTCAACAAATATTTAGTGATTGCCTCTTTGTGGCAGGAACACAGTGACATCCTGGAAATACAGTAAACAGTCTCTGTCCTCAAAAGGTTCATGTTTTGGCCTTTCAGTACCCACAGTAAAGAAAATTCTGCCCTACCCCACCCTACTCCACTGAAAGTCCTCTGGCAAAGACACCGTTACCCTATTAATCAAGCACAATGGACTGTTCCGTGGTTCTCAGGAAGACCTTTTTGTAGTGTCTAATAATATTGAGCAATTATCATCTTGCTGTCTACAACACTCCTCTCTTTCCTGATTCCCTACCATCATCAGACTGGAACTTCCCAATCTCCAATGCTAGCCTTTCTTCTGTTATCCCCTTAACTAATATTCCATAGTGTTCTGATGTTTACCCTTTTTCTTTTATACCCTACACTAGGGCTTCTTGATCTTTTCAGAGTCAGGAACTCCTTTAAGAATCTGAAGGAGCTATGCACCTTCTTCCTAGGGGGAAAAAATGGACCCACTTATAAATATACAAAAATTTGCATATATCTTATGGAATTTTATAGGCCTTCTTCCCCTCCCATAAAGCCCAATGTTGTACTTCAGGTAAAGAGGTTTCTTAGCTTTAACTATTGTCAATGACCCTCAAATACACCTCCCACATAAAGCACTTTCCGGAGAAATAGGACTACTTTCAACTGATATTGATAACTCACATGAACGCCCCTCAGGCACCTTAAAAGTCAAGATATCCCAACCAAAGTCATTATCTTTCTCCTAAAACCTGTTCTCCTCCCTGGACAAAGAACCTGTGGGAAAGAGAACACCCTTTTTGAACTTAATAAACCTATATTTAAATCCAGTCCTGGAAACTTCAATAATATACTTAAACTCTCTGTGTTTTAATTTTTTCATATTTAACATGAGGATAATAATACTTCCATTTCCTGAATTATTATGAGAATTAAAATAGATAATAGGAAAATCCATACCCAAGTGTCACCACATAGCATACATTTCACAAATATTAATATTACTAGATTCCCAATCGTAGCAAAAGCAACTCCATTCACCAATTGTCCAAAGTCAAAAATTTAGGATCATCTTTAACTTGTCCCCTTTTCCTCATCTGCAACCTATGAGTAGCTACATTGTGTTAATTCTTTAACATTCTCCTGCCCTTAGTTCAGGCTCTCATGTTCTTTCTCATGGACACAGCAATAGTTTTCTATCCGGTTGACCAAATTCCTGTCCCACACCCTTCCAACCTCTCCTCTTAACACTGTAGCCAGAAGATTTTCCCAAGACACAAATCTGATAATGCCAGGACTCTGCTTAATCTGCCCAGTTGCTTCTTGGTGCTTCGGGGATTACATCTAATTTAGCACTGTCGGCTGACTACGATCTGGCCCCTGCCAACCTCCAACTTAATCTCTTGATTACTTTTGAGTTTCTCCAACCACCCATTGTGTTTTAGATTCCATATGCCTGTTTACACTGCTTTCTTGGTCTGAAATGTCCTCACCCCTCTACATCTTTTCTTGCCAATTAGGCAAATACCTACTCATCTTTCAAGACACAGTTCAAGCATTGCCTCTGCTATGAAGTTACCCCGACAGCGGCCTGCCACACCGTTGCTCATTGATTCCTTTTAACTCCCATTTGTAACAGATACGGCAAATATGAATGCATGTGGTTCCAGATCTCAAAAAGTTTGCAATCGTCATTGAACCAGAAATCTTGTTATATAATCTGGGCAAGTAAGCCAAGTCAAAAGAGAAATCATGTAATCAAGAGGCATGAAAAAGTCATGAGTCATAAGTAACTTCAGCACTGAAATCAGTGGTTCTTTTCAGAGGCCCTCTTTGACTTGCAAACTCTGTGCTTTGTGGCTGTGTGTGTGTGCATGCGTGAGCGTGCATGCTTACATATTACTATGTTAGTTATATATTACTGTATTAGGTATATAACTGATTTAATCTCCACAGCCAGCCTATGAGTTGGGCACTGTTAATATTCCTGTTTTAGAAGGAAACTAAAAGCATGAAGAGACGAAGTAACTTGTCCAATATTACCCAAGTAAAAATATAAGTATAAATAAAATATGACTTCAGTTAATTTAAAAAAATAAAATTGATAAATAAAAGTTATATACTATTTATAATTGAGCCTTTTAAGGGCTGGTACATAAAGAAAAACAAAAGTGCCCTATACTCAAAAACAGTGAGTCATGAATAATAAACTAAGATAAAAAGAATACAAGACCGTACTTTCTGGGGGCAGTAAGAAAATCTTGGGGGTGAGGGCAATCTATGAAAAGGATCAGAAAATTAATGAATGGAATGAGAGGACCACCTAACCCAGACCAGGAGCTCTCTGAATCGTTCTCCGAAGTCACCCTCGCTCCACCTTCTCTCCTCCCACGTTATTGACTGGGGACTATCCGACGGAAGATAGGCTCTTCGTGGACCTGCTGTGCGCTTGCGCATCTTCGGATCGACGATCCTTCCCATCGATACTCTCGGAAGCAACTTGTTCAGCCTGGTCACTGCCCGCGTAGGCGCTACCGCCGGCGCCGTGGCCGTCGCCATTATCAAGGTGGGGAGAGTCAGGTTCTTGGACAACTGGAGGCGGTGGTGGTGACTGGTATGGACGGTTCCCGCCCGCGATAGCCCCTCCAAGTTCTCCCACCTTCGGGCTACAGCTCCCGATATTGCCTCCATTCCCGCAGGACCGAGTCTCTGTCCCCAGTCATCCTGTCACTGGCTTCAGGCTCTTTTCACTTCCTCACTCTTCCCTTCAACTCGAACCTTTGTTTGTAGCTGTTGTCAGGCGGCCCTGACTTGTGTTAAAAATACCTGCCTCGACCCTCAGGACTTTGTCCTCGCCGCTGCTCCCCATTCCCCGCCCGGATCTAGTCCGAGTTGTTTTCAGCGGGCTCACACCCGGATCTCGGAGCTGCTCGGCCGCCCCTGGGTAGGGCTTTGTGCCTGTAGGGCTAGGGGCGAGTTCTGGCCTCCTTGGCTTATGACCAGAGCTTGGACTTCGGTCCTGTCGTAATCGAGGGACACAAGAAGGAGATAGCAGACGTTCCCCGAGCGGCTGTTGTTAAAGCTTAATCCGCCACCAGCTTGTTTGTTTTGTCTTTTTCCAGGCGGAACTACGAAAGCGAAGATATTTTGCGTCTGCCCTCTCCTCTAGAAATGGCAAATGTGAGTAAATTAGTCTCTTAAGAGGCAGTATAGTAAAATACTAGTTTGGGAACTTGTTAGGAAATGTTGGAGGGACGGGTTTGTGATGGTATTGGTGGCATGTTGTTCTTGTTTAGACTTAGTGCAGCGATTTTCAACAGGTGTGTCGGAAGAATTTTTAAAACATGCAATATGACTATTAAGTCAGGGGCAGTGACCCCTTTTCCCGTAGACTGTCAAGTTAAAAAAAAAAAAAAGAGCAGCTAACACAACAATAGCTGTCTGGTGTGAAGCAAGAAAAATTATACCTATCTTTTTTTAGCGAGATCAGCAAAACTATTTTTTTTGGCGTGCCTCAGAATTTTAATAATTAGTTCATGTGTACTATGAGATGAAAAAGGGTTGAAAATTTCTGCGTTAATGTTATCAAAAATGTCAAGGGAAGCAAGGGGTGCAAAATTAATGTTGGTATGCTTTGAAGGTAGTTTGAACACATTCTTTTTAATAGATGTGTATTTATTTCTACACATTTTTTCAGAACTACATTCAGAGCCAGCATCAATATTTTTAAAAAGACATCACTTCAGTAAATATTTAGAATATTTTTAAGCCTTTTTTATTTTTGTTAGCTAAACTGGAGGTTTTGTAGCAGTTTTTGTATAGCAAATAACTTTCCAAATCCTACAAAACAAGAGGAAGAGATATTATTGACATAGGCCAGAGATGTTTATTGGCTGTACTTTCCAGTGATTAACCAGAGACATCCTAGATAAGGAGATTGCATAGTAGGGGACATAAAACATAAGTGAAAACAGCTGCAATAAAAGTAGGAAGTAATTTTTTTTTAAAAACTACAGACTGAATTTGTACATTGCAAATTCAGCTTTGTGGAGAGGGGAAAATAGGCACTTGGGATCACTTAATCTAAGAAGAATTTAATTTGAGTTTTGAAAGACGAATGGGATTTAGATAATCTAAGTTTTAGGTGGGAAGAACAGGAGGAATATTCAGAGACACCCCTCTTCCACAAATCAAGAAGCCAGTGTTGTTTTCCTGAGCATGAGGTATGTGAATGAATTTACTGGGAAATAACTTTGGCTTTTGGAATTCTGATCAAGTAATAGCCTTGAATTCCAAACTCAGTATTTTAGACTTTATTTAAATCATGGTGATTTAGTTAGAGCTGTGTGTTAGGAAGATTAGTATGGCAGCAGTTGCCCAGGATAGTATAATATTTCTGTAATTGAACCTCATCTGTTAAGTAAGAGTCTAATGATGTGACTGTAGGGACAGGTTATAAAAGTAGACCACTGGTCTTGCCACATTTTAAGGTGAATTTTTACCTGGCCATATCCATAGAAAGGGAACGTTGTAAAGAAGCATGTGGTACTCTCAAAGGAAAGACATTAATTAGAATAGAAGGCTAATATTTGACCTGGCTTTATAAATTAGTTCAATAAGGGAAATAATTTAAAGGTACTTTATAAATTCTCTTATTATTAGAAAGAAGGTCATATAAAGTAAAATTTAATTTTAATATTCAAATATACTTTAAAAAATGTATGTTTATATGCATTGTAAATGCTGAATTGATGAGAGTAATGAAATATGCAGATATGTGCGTCTTCAATTTAGTTAGCATACATAGCAAGGATCATAACTGTCCACGCGTCAGTGGCTAGACAGGTTAAATTAAGACACCATGGTGGGGATTTTGACACACGGAAATGTCCATTGCTCATATAAAGGGAGCAGCCTTTCCTTACCTACAGTGATTTGTTGCTAATTAATGCCTTTTGAGAATGTCAGTCTAGTGCTTCTAGATGTTTGAGGACAGCCAAAAATTCTGGACCTTTTGCATGAAATCTCACCATTTCTCAATTTTATATCCAATTAAAGTTTCTTGTAGCACTGTGGACCACACAAAAATGTCTGTGGATACATATGGATGTGTTTTATAGATGACCAGATTTCAGTCTTTGGTAGAGACCAAGTTAAACTTCAATAGACTGTCATCTTCCCCGGTCTAGAGTCCTGGGTTTGCTTGAAGTTAGTCATGTATAAAATACATACTTCTCCTCAAACTAAAATAAACTGTCTTTTAATTTTTGGGGCTGTTTTATTGGCTGCAACTTTTAATTATTATATTTACCAGCTGATCCAGTGTCGTAAAATGTCAGGTTTGCACAAAACACTTCCATTCCACAGTAGATGATCTGAGAATCATACAGGTTAAAGGGTAAAAGTCTGAAACAAACTAGTACTGTCATCAGCTGTCCCTTTCAGTGGACAAATTAAATTTTTTACTGGTTTATTTTGCCAATAAAATGAAATTTGGTGACTAGATTTTCTTAGGCTAGGAACAAAACTCACAATTTATTATATAACTTTTGTTAAAAGTTTTACCGTCAAGAAAAATCAAAATAGAATCTAGTGGCCTTGGTACTTAGAGGGTAAAATAATTGTTAATAATGTTGGGCAATTTCTAAAATAATTTAGACAATCTTCTTTTTCATTTGTTTTTCCTTGTGAAGCAATGTGAATGTGCAGGATCACATAACTTTTTAATAATCATACTTAAAATAATGTAAATAATGGTATATAGATGTGTTGTGAAAATTAAGTAAAACAGTACATGTAAAGCACTTAGCACAGGATCTGGCCCATAGTAACTAACACTTGTAATTATTTAATATTGCCCCTTTCAGTTAATCTCTTACTGAGCCTGTTATTATTTTGAAGCTTTGCTCATAAATTTTTGAAATTTAAAATTTTAAATTGCTTTTTAGATCCCGGGGTATATTCAGTCTGTTAAATGTCCTCAATTGTAAAGGTAAATTTATAGTATTAGAGAAACACTTAAAAGTCTGAGTTTGTCTAATAGGTAAAAAGCCTAATAATTGCCATTTTTGTCTCCGTGGGCAGGTTGGGTAGAGACCCAAGGGAGGGTGCTTACATTTTCAGGTGGGCAGAATGCTCTAGAGACACACCTTGCACTTGGGAGGCACATGGAGAAGATTCTATTCCAGATCTTTAAGAAAGATTTGGAATATTTAAGAATGTTAAGGGGAAAGGGGCATTTTAGCAGAAAATAAATCTTTTGTCAGTCTAAAAGAAGGCAGAGAAATATGGAAAATGTTAGATATTTTTATGTGACTAAAGAGTGGAGCAAGGGAAGGGAGGGTAAAATTAGTAACAAACTATATCAGAGAGTAATACCAGTTAGGATGTCCTCTTGTACTTATGGTAAGAGGTAACAGATAGACTGAATTTCACAATAGTATCTGAAAGGGGAAAAAGAATGATTCATTCTAAAGTATCAAATGGCTAGACTATTTCAACATCCTGGTAACTAGTTTTCATACTACCTCTCTAACCCCATTCTAGTCTATTCTCTATGCTGCCCTTAATGGTACTTTCCTAAAAATATCCCGTATTTTCATCAGTTTACTCCATTCCCTGTCTACAGAATAAAATTCTAATTTATTATCCTAATGTTACAGGACCTTTACAGTTTGTGTCAAATATAAAATCTTTTTTTTTTTTCTTTTTGTCTAACTTGTAAAGCCTGCAGGTTAACTTCCAAGATTGTTTTTAACTGCACTCCCTTATACCCTCCCTCACTGAGTTGTCACTCTTTGAATATACCTGTGTGGGTTCATACCTTTGTTTCTGCAAGTCACTCATTGAAATGTCACTTTTCCCAGCAAATTTCTACTATTTCTATAAAACCTAGTATATCCTCCCTGAAACATTTTTTCTGCTCTTGCAAGGATTTCTTAATTATTTGCATCTTCAGCATTTTACAGATAATATGACATATGTTCTTACATTTTTCCACTGAAGTAAAAGTTGGCTTTTTTTTTTTTTAAATGTAAAGGGCTAGGTAGTAAATAGTTGAGGCTTTATGGGCCGTAGAGTGTTTGTGCAACTACTTAACTCTCACTATGGTGTGAAAGTAGCCATAGACAGTACATAAATAAATGGGTGTGACTGTGTTACAATAAAGCAGCAGACTGTTTTTCACTATAGTTTCCCCAACCCCTGCATTAAATTATTGTCACACAGGTATTTTGCTAAAAGTTTATGCATTTACACAGTCACTCATTGGAACGTTTCAGAGTCTAGAAAATGACCTTCGGAGCAGAAACTGTACCACGTAGGTGTGCGCTAAAATGAAAGAAAGTAGACATTACCTTAAAACCAAGAGCAAAGATGGCATGGGAGATAATTCACACAATTTATAGCAATAAGAGAAGAGTTACAAAATAAACAGGTTTTGATCCTAGGAAAGGTTTTGACAGTTTCATGTTTTGAGAATAGAAGAATCTTATTATTTGGACTATCTTTTCAGTGTTGCTACATTGCGCAATTTTTAGAGGTTCCCATTCTCTCTAGTGTGGTACTCTTAATTCTGGCCTTCATTGGAAAAGCCATATACTTTTTTCCAAAGTAACTTATTGCTTGTTTTTTTGTTTTTATATTTGTGCTTATTTTTTAAATTATAAATATGCATAATGCTTGTCATATGGTAGGTTCTCAGTAATAAAATAAATACTGGTTTTAAAAGATAAATTGCAATGTGACGATTTGCCAGAGGTTGTCTGGGTGTAAGTGTAATGTTTATATCCAGAAAAAATAATTTAAAATTTTGTGTCATTTTTAGGTGCTCTGTAACAGAGCCAGATTGGTTTCCTATCTCCCAGGATTTTATTCTTTAGTTAAAAGGGTTGTCAATCCCAAAGCCTTTTCAACTGCCGGATCTTCAGGTTCTGATGAATCTCATGTGGCCACTGCACCTCCTGATATATGTAAGTAAAAGTTATTGCTTTACTTATAATTTTTCCAAAACATTTTGAGTTGTGTTTTCTGTATTTCTACTTGGGGTCTTACAGATTTTCTAAAGTTGAGTTCATCCCATTGAACATAGACTCAAGAGCTCTGCCTAAATATTTGTATCAGAAAGCTACAGCATTAAAAAAAACGTAGAATGAATATTGGTTTCTAAAACTTACTTTCTTAAACTTTAGTTTCTTTTTATCTTCAAACATATACAGTCTTCCCTGGAACAAATATTTTAATCCTATTGAACTGTTACTACTATTGCTATTCTTTGCTGAATTTCTAAAATATAGTTGGCACTTTTTATATATGTTTATTGAATCAGTAACTTACCACTGTCTACAAAGTCTGCTTCTTCTAATCCATCTTGCACACCACTATTATATTAATCATTCTAAAACATGTTAATTTTGTTAATTCCGTGATAAGCCTTAGTTATCTCCCACTACTTTCAATAGCAGTTCCCAGACAGTCCCCAAGCTATGAAAATTTTTCAAGGTCTAAAAAACAAAAAATTAAGTTACGTGATTAGGTAAATTTGAGAACTGTTATATGTCACAGTCCTATCTTGGAGGTGTATAATGCACACTAAAATATTAAAGGAGAGCTCTTAGGAACTTAACCTAATGTATCCCAAAGGAGTTGGGCATACCATCTTTTTTCCTTGTGACACATTACATACCATGTAATGTAAGTTTACTTGGACATGCAAAGCCTTCCCTGGTTTTCTTGCCTTAGTTTTATAACACCATCTCTTACTACTCACTGAAGGCTAAACATATATGTATCATAAATGAAAGATTTGTCATTCAGAATATATGAAGAGTTTGTATGCTGAATATATATTTTTAAAAAACTTTATAGACCAATAGGAAAAAGACAACCTAGTAGAAAACCAAACAAAAATTTAAAAAATTATATGAACAGACTATTCCTGGAAGAGAAAACCTAAATTACCAGTCAACATGAAATTATGCTCAAATTCACAGTTAACATGGGATATTTATTTCTTTAAGAGACTGTTATTTCTGGACAGTCTTTAAAACCCATCTTGTTCAAAAATAGGAAGTAGGTTTTATGTGGTGAACTGACTCCAGTCAATCGTTAGTGTCCGTCAGCCTTACAGCTCACGACCGTCTTCAGACTAATAGCATCAATGTCATGTGGGAACTTGCTAGAAATGAAGGATCTTGAGCCCCACTCCAGACGGTCTACATCAGAATCTGAATTTTTACAAGATCTCCAGTGATTCTTAAATACTTAAAAGTTTGAGAAGCATCGGGCTAGAATGTTTGGGTTGAGAATTATGAGACAATGTCTCGGTGCAGGAGGAAAGAGTTTCATGATTGTTCGATGTTTTTTATAGGTGTAGAAGAGGGATATGGAGACAGATCTAGTGATGGAGCGACCATGTTGACATGGCCCTTTTTAGTCAGTTTGGGCAGAATATTAAAAAATATTTTTATTGCCAGCTGGTGTCTTCAGCAGTTGTCCCTTTCCGTAAACAAAAATCTACCCTTGAGTATTTCTTTGTTTGGTTTTCTACTTTATTCTTTTCTGGATCCTTTTTAATTTTTCACATTAGGGTATTTTTAAAAAGTAAATAAAGTAATGTGGTCTCATCTTCTGTGAGTTTTTAATCCATGTTCACTCATGTGGCTGGTGAACGGGGCACTATGTCATGTTGGCTCCAACAGGGTTTTTCCCAGCCCATTGTTTCGTGCTACCAGGTGACAGCACTTCCATCCCCTCCCCAAGGGTAACCCCTATTAAGTTTGGTATGTTTCCTTTTAGATCTTTTCCTTCTTTCTGAATTTAAAAACAAACATTAAGTTCTGAAATGAATGTCATATATGTTATTCTTTGGCTTAGCTTATTCTTTTAATGTAATATGTCTTGGATTTTGTTCAGTCAGTAAAGAAAAGATTTACTATATTTTTTTTAATGACTATCAAGCATTATATAATACGGATTGCAGTATTTTATTAAACCTTTCTCCTAATGGACTTGCCTAGGAGCTGACAGCTGGTTGCTTTGATTACTATTTAGGAAGTAACTTGAAGCTAGTTTATATTAACACAGGAAAGCAAATTTCAAAAATCTATCATTTAGGTAAAAAATACCTGATTTTAAGAAGAGCATTTATTCTTTTAGTCTGACAGTACACTTGACTGTTAGAGAGAAAATGATTCTTTTTTTTGTTGTTGTTCGTTTCTTTTCAGGCTCTCGAACAATATGGCCTGATGAAGTTATGGGACCATTTGGGCCTCAGGATCAGAGATTCCAGCTTCCTGGGAACATAGGTTTTGATTGTCACCTCAATGGGACCATGTCACAGAAGAAAAGCCAGGTTCATAAAACTTTACCTGACATTCTCGCAGAACCTTTATCAAGTGAAAGACACGAGTTTGTGATGGCACAATATGTGAATGAATTTCAGGTAAATTGTCAAGATTATATATTCTGTTTTTCTAATTATTAATGCTATATTAATTTCTGATTACTATAAATATCACCTTCACTGAGATGTAAAGAAAAATACTCAATTCCAATATATATAAAAACAACATAGATTTTTTTAAAGTTGGCATTGTCCTGTATACACAGGACTAAAAAATAGTTTGCTATTTTTTTTTTTTTACTTTAAATTACAGCCTTTTTTAGGTAATTAAATAATTCTTCAAAGATTTTTTTTGATATCTGCCTTTTTCATCAATTATATATAATTCATTTATTTCTATATTACTGGAAACTTACCATATTTTGCCATGTGTAATGTGCTCCTGTATATAATGCGCACCCACATTTTTGGCCCAAACTTTCAGGAAAAATAACTGTCATTTTAATTTTTTAATTCAGTTATTTATTTATATTTAGAAACAAAACTGATTATTGTATTGCTGGGTATTATTTTGTATATGGATATCATTATTGCTTTCTAGAGTTGTACTTTTAATACATTAGCATAAATAAAAGAATTAAAAACATTTATATAGATAGAGAATTAGTACTACCCCTTATTTTTTCTCAAAAATTTGGACAAAAATGTGAGTATTTTACATGTCAGAATACAGTGGTTTTTTTTCCATGTTACATTAACTATTACTGGAAATTTAGATTGCCTGTTTTTCACTTTTATAAATTGTAATTATTTGTATATGAGCCAAATTTCTACCAATTTTATACTGCTCTAGCCATTTAAAAACTTATAATTTTGAGATCTCTGAAATTCTTCATATACAGTAGTCTAAAAAGAAAAACTTGTAAATTTTTTTTAATACAATTCCTGATGTTCTTTTTAAAGTAGTTTTATAAACTGGTATTGTTTCATTGCCCAATCAAGTGGAAAGCTACATGCAATTCAGAGTTTCTGTCAAGCCTCTGAATCTACTGTTTTTCACATTTCTACAGAATTTCAGGCTGAGTTTTATTTTTTTCAAATCAAAATACTATTAAAAGCAACAACGCCTTACAGTTGTAATGAGTTATATCAGATAAGCTGAAATTGGGACACAGTAGACATCCCCTGACTTTTTATCTCAGTTAATTCCTTCTCAGCTTCTTGGCTCCTCTGTCAATCACATAATATTTCCCATACATTTCTGTTCTTCATCTTTTCATTTAAATTATTTCCTGGTTGCTTACTCCCTTGGCTTTCTTCCACAGGTTGTGTTTTTAAAATTTCTAACTTAACATTTCTATTTCTGACATTTCTGGTTCTGTATTTCTGTCTGCCTGCCAAACATTTTATCTGGATATCTCACAAGTCCTCAGACTTTGTATGTCTAATACTGAATTAGTTCTTTTTTCTCTCAAAACCCATCCTTACTCCCTTATTAGTGGTATAAATAACTTAGCTATTGTCCCACTGTCCCAAGATAAAAATTACACTGCCAACCTCAACACTTCCCTCCATCATACCCCCATAAACAGAAATGAAATCTCCTTGCTTTATCTTTTGAAGTAGCTCTTTAATTATTTGTGCCCTTTTCAGTTTTTACTAATACTGTGAGAGTTCCGGGCTACGTTATCTTACCTAGATTCCTAGAGGCATTGTAGTATGATGGACTATGGAGATAGGATAAGTCTAGGTTCAAAGGTTAGCTCTGCCATTTACTTAATTTTGTGACCTTGAAAAAAATAACTTTCTGAGCCTCTGTCTTTTATTTATAAAATGGGGATAATAATAATCTCTGGCCCACAAAATTAGGAAGATTAAATGTGAAAGTATATGTAAAGCAGGAAGGGATTAATAAGTTGGCTTTGACTAGTCTATACCTGCTTCTCCTCATTTCCATACCTCTCCACAATAATACTAGCATAAGCTTTTTATATCTTCTCTTGTTATTCCTCATTGCTTATAAAGTCAGAATTTCTTAATGTGACATAAATGGCTTTTCACAGTTGTGATCCTTGTCTTTCCCACCTCACCTCCCACTACTTCCTACTTTCCCTGCACCCCATTCACAGCATACTTTTAATTTTTTTGTACTGTTGTTTTCTTGCTGGATTGTTTTTCCTTTTGAATTCCTAACCTGTAGTCCACCTATTTTTTATTTATCAGACATACACATTAATTAATGTGTAGCTCAAATATGATTTCAACCTTTTCCTGACTTCTCCCAGCAAAGCAAATTTCTTCCCTATCTATAGTGCTTCAAGATTTTCTTCATAACTCTCTAACACATTTTCTATTGAATCACAGTTATTTGTTCATGCTATTATTCTTCTACTAGCTATAATATACCCAATAGTGAAGACTGGATTATTTTACCTCTGTCGTGCCTGTTCTTGTTATGCTATCTGATGTACAATAGGTGCCCAGTAAATTTCAGTTGAATAAAAGCCTTGAAGCTCTTCCTACAGGAGAGGCTGTATATTTAGTCATCTTATTTTGTAAGTTAGTGTAATTATCCCCATTTTACAGATTACTGAATGAAAAGATAGATACCACAAAATATTATAAGGTAACATTGTATGACATAATTACTGTATTTTACTTCATTTCTTAGCCAACTTATTTCGAGTCCTATTATATCAGTATATTTATACATTCATGTTTTTTTTGTTTTTGTTTTTTTAGAATTTTCAGATCCTGGATTCATCACAGAGAAATGTTTGCGCATATACTAAAAAAAATCTTTCTAGGGAAGACAAGTTTATAATAGGCAAGGTATTTGAACTCCAGATTTTGTTTACTTATGTTTCTTTTTTCCCTTAGGGTAATGATGCACCTGTTGAACAAGAAGTTAACAGTGCAGAAATGTACTTTGAAAGTGCCAAAGTAGAGTGTGTAATCCAAACATGTCCAGAATTGCTGCGAAGAGGTATGTTGTGCTTATGTGCATATTTACAATAATGTGTATCAGATAATGTCACTAATTTTTTAATGTGTTCAATAGTGCGCTCCATAGGAATTGTAGTGCTTTGTGTTTTACTTAATATTTTACTCTCTGTAGGGAAATGATTGTGTGGTCAAGACAGAGGCATTCAAATGCCCCCTACCATCTGACCTCATGTTGTCATTAGATAGGAATAGTAGAATTTTTAATAACTTTTTTCCTGTGACTTTTCCTAAAGTCTTTCCAGTCCTGCATGGTTGTTACAGCTATATTTTCAAGAGCTGATATGTAATCATAAGAAAAGTGTTAATAATAAACTTTTTTTGAAAATTACAAGACCAATAATATGTAACCTTTCAGAATCGTTGTCTGTAATACTTCAACAAGAGCAGAAGTGAATGAAAATCAAGTTTAAGTCATCCGTTTCAAAAATAATACGCATTTATAAACCAAATTAGACACCACAATAATTTAATCATTTTTCTAAACCAGTGTTTTTGTGCACTACTCCTCTTTTTAAAAACCAAATTATTTCCTCCCTGGAATTTTTATTCTTATTTATAGATTTTCAGTCGCTGTTTCCAGAAGTGACCACCAACAAACTAATGATTCTGACTGTAACACAGAAAACTAAGAATGATATGACTATTTGGAGTGAGGAGGTAGAAAATGAAAGAGAAGTACTCTTAGAAAAGGTAATTCTTTCGGTTGGTGACAATTTAATTTTATGATCTTATTTAAATAGGAATGAATCAACGTTTTAAAATGTTGAAGTGTCTTTTCTAGCCTTTATTTTCTGCTAACTTATTTCAATACTAAAGAACTTAAATCTTTTTCTAAGAATAGCAATGCCACAATTTTGAACAGCTAGCATTCTGTTTAATACTTTGCTAATTTTTTTTTAATTTAGGTCTGTTTTACAAAAAAGGAAGCTTTTTGTTTCTTTCAAACCCATCTCTGTTCTCTCCTCTCTCTGTCTCTCCATTCCATTTCCTCCCTCCCTTCTTCCCTCTCCTCTCTCTTTAAAGCATAGCACATAAAAAGTAAAAATTACACCAGCCTTCTTCAAGGAGTAAATGGCAATGTGTATAATACAGTAATCATAAAAACTGTATACCCACAATTTTTTCATGTCTTTTGCTTTTAACCTGAAGATACGTATTGACAACTTCCCATAATATTACGCATAGATAATATTTCTTTTTTTTGTAAAATCTGCATTGTATTACATTACTTGGGCAAAACATAAGTTTTTTAAGTTACTTAAAATTTTCCATAGTAATTTGTAAATGGAAAACCAAACTTTTGCTTTTAAAGGCAGTGAATATATTTTTACATATATTCTTTATGCTTTCACATATATTTATAGATTCCTAAATTGAGACTTGCTGAATTAAAGGATATAATCGTTTTAAATTTTGGTAAATGCTGCCAATTTGCTCACCAAAAAGATTGCCTAAGTGTATACACTCATCCTATGTAGCCCTGGATATTAGCATTTCTTTTCATTTTTAACAACCTAAGAAATGATAAGAGATAACAAAAAGTTGAAACTTCTAAACTATATAATTATTTCTTTAAGATTTTGATGTTGGGTTATATCAGTTATTTTTGTCTACAAGACAGAAAGAAATATCCCTGTGCCTGTACAACAGGTTAGGAATAGTTCACTTGAGGAATCTTAGCTAACTGTAAATTTTATGCAGCATGATGTCAGGAGTTACTTTATATGTTCTTTAGCATTGGATGGTGGTTCTTTTCATTTGTAAAAATATAATTTACACACTTAATGGTATGTCGTGATGATGACTTTATAGTACTTAAAAGTCCCACATAGAATTTTGCTAATAAATTTCATGCAGTTAATAATCACGAGCAAGTTACATGCTAGTTAGCAAGGAAATTACAGAGAGGCATGATGATAGTGTTTCTGATTTGATAGATAATCTGAATTTAGAGAGTTGAAATTTAAATAGGCATTAACTCAGTAAATATTTTCTATTTACATTGCAAGGTAATATTTACTAAATTCATACTTATTGTCACTATTGTTGATCACTAGAAAGCTCTCATGTGTGCATTGCATTACTGGTTCTAATTTTTGATCAATTAAAGATTCTGACCCTCTTCTGATACTAACATAGTAGTCAGTTTTCTATAACCAATTTCAGGGCTTTGAAATGGCAACATGCTTTATCTTGTGATTTTTAATTTTGTAATGACTGAGTTATGTTATTTTCTGTGAGGGGAAAAACCCAGATTTTTCTATATTAGCTATGTTAGTAATTATTTTAGAATGACATACATTTTACTTTCCAAGTGGGTATTTTATGTTTTATGGTTTGAATCTATTCTGTATTTTCCCAGCAGATGTCAGTTGTTTGCCGTTGATGAATAGAAATCTTGAGAGAAATACTTTTTGTAATAATTTGGGATTCTTTTAATTAACCTTTACAAACATTTGATTGTATTGTTTTGCTCTCCTTACAGTTCTTGTGTATTGCACATCTCTGCGTGAAGTTGATGTATATTCTAATAACTTATCTTGATCATATTTAGTAGTTTTCCTACTTTTAGGAATTATAAGGATTAAGTAAGTACAGCAATAAGTATAAATATTAAGTATGGCGATAAACTAAATACAGTATTATCTTGGTTTTCATTGGTTTATAAGAACATATTAAGAGAAAATAGGATAGCTTAAGTTGTGTACCTCTACAGCAAGGGTCAGCACACTTTTTCTGTAAAGAGCCAGATAATAAATATGATAGGCTTGGTAAGCCACATTTCAACTACTCTCTAACTACAGTTGCTTTGCATTGTTAAAACAATGATAGACAGTATATAGGTGAATAGTTATGGCCATGTTCCGGGAATACTGTATTTATTATACGAGCAGGCAGCAGCCGGATTTACCCATCTGGTTGTAGCTTACTAACCCCTTACTTAGGATATGGCTGCATTCCTCAGGCTTTGACTTTTGAGAGTCTCAGCTGAAGTCAGAGATGCTCAGAAATCCATGTTTTCTAGCACTGCACAAACCCTAGTACCACCGTTCAGCTCTCAGCTGGCACTTTCTGCTGGGCCTTGCAGAATCTCATCATGTGCCTGCACAGCTCATCTCTTGGCTATAAAACCAGGGTCAGTCGCCCTGCAGACTGCTGGAAGTCCTGTTGGCTCCCCTTTCTCTTCTCTAGTACCCTACCCCACAAATTCTAGAGACTTCAGCAGTCCATAATTCTTGTTTTCTGCCTCCTCAGTTCAGTGACACCACCTTTTGCTTGGAATCCACTTCTTTGCCCTTTGACAAGAAGGTATCCCCAGACACAACAGGAAAATACAGGGAGCACCTCATCTGTTTCCCTTTTGACAAAGATCACGGTTTTGTCACTGTTGTTCAGAGTCTAAAAACAGTTGCCACATATATTTTTGTCAGTTGTATGGTTTTCAGCAGGTGACAAGTTTGATACCTATTACTGTCATGGCTGGAAGGGGAACTGTGCCCCCGTGTTTTTAAACATTTATGATCTGTCTCTTAGCATCCTAATCTGGTCGTAATATTTGTTACTGTCTTTTACACTGGTTAGGCTTCTGATGAAGCTAATAAAGACACCATAAGATTTAGGATGGTGAGACCATGATTTTGAATAGGTGATACATGTGTATGGTGTGTAATGATTATATGCTACACAAAAGAAACGGGTTATATAATGAAAAGTAAGCATCCCATTCAGCCCTGTACTCCGTCTATCCATTTACCCTGTTATTTCTGTGTGCCTTTTCAGAAGTATTTCATGACTCCGTGAATGGAGAATAGATATATGTGTTTTTGAAGGACACACAAACAAGTATATGTTTTTAAATGTTTATTCAAATTAATGAATAATTCATGTCTTTTTACTATGAATATTTTGTTTTTTCTTTCTTACCTTGTTTCTGATACTGCTATAGTATTGCAAAATAACAATTATAGCTTATAATTCATGTTAAATTCAGGAATTAATAGCACAGTACTGATTAGAAATGATTCCTAAAATAAAGAATTTAGAAGAAAAAAATACACAATTTAGACTTTTCAAAAGAAATGAAAATGTTATTTGAACCATTAATCTTTTGAAATGATTAAAATAATCTTAACTTTACAGTCTAATTTATGAGTTTTAATTTTTTATTCATCTTGTTAAGATCTCTATATGAAACAAAAGATTTATTTAAAAATTTATTAAAACAAAAATCTGTAGCAGTGGTATCTTGAGCATATTATTTCTGTCTTTTTCTATGCAGTTCATCAGTGGTGCTAAGGAAATATGCTACGCTCTGCGAGCCGAAGGCTATTGGGCTGACTTTATTGACCCATTATCTGGTTTGGCAGTGAGTAATTAAATCCAAAGTTTAAAAAGCCAGATGATGTAATTTGAAGTAGGAATGACTTATATTATGAAATTTGAAGTAGGAATGATTTGTATTATAGTTCATAACTCTAACTTTAGTAAAAATAGATCACTAAAGACTTTTTTAAAAATCTCACAATTTTACCCAAAGAAGTACCTCTATGAGTTTGTTGCATTCACAACTTGGAGGGACCTCTGTCACTCACACTTAAGTTTCTCCATCACTTTAAATTCTTTTAATTAAAAAATGATAAAAAGTTATTTCTGTACTCATTTATATAGAATTAGTGTGTTTGATGTTTGTTAGTTGAAAATTAGTTATCAACAGTTTCTTTAAGGAAGAAAAAATATTTTTGAATTAAGAAAATACAGATAGTAGAAGAAATATTTAGAAAAGTAACATTTTAGAAATTAATATTTATAAAGTTATATTTTGAAAATAACTGCATTGTCACATTTTAAATCCTGGGGGGGTTTTTGTTGGTGGTGGTGGTGGTGTTGTTTTTAAAAATAGTGGTAAATTTGTCTTGAATCTTAAGATAGTAATATATACTATTCTCAAAGTCAAGTAAGATATAAACTAAAAATGAAGAACCGACTCTGGACTTTAGTTTCCTTTTCTTAAAAATATTAAGGTGAACCATAGATTATTGTCTAAAGTTTGTTCCATCTTTAAAGTTGGTGCAATGTTATGCATTTGGTTCTAGATAACATGAAATTTGCTGGATCATTCATTTCACATTTCCAGAATGCATAGCTCTTGGGGAAAGAGGAGGTGTTAGAGCAGTTGAAGCCTTTCACATGACCTTTTTATTCCTTATTTGAATCTTTACATATTTCAAGTATTAAAATACGGGTTTATGTTTGCATGAAATTATTACTCCATTTTCTTTTTGGCTAATGAAAATACGTCTTTTTTTTTTCCCCTCAGTTTTTTGGACCATATACAAACAACACTCTTTTTGAAACAGATGAACGCTATCGACATTTAGGATTCTCTGTTGATGATCTTGGCTGCTGTAAAGTGATTCGTCATAATCTCTGGGGTACCCATGTGGTTGTAGGAAGTATCTTTACGAATGCAGCACCAGACAGCCATATTATGAAGAAATTAAGTGGAAACTAGTAGTAATGTCAATTTGTTTGCTGTACTATTTGTACTTAACATTTAGGTTGATCTATAAACACTGTCAAAGGCTTCAGTTTTTAAACTTTACTTATTTCTAGGGTATTTATTTCAACATTTATGAATTTATGTTGACAGGAGTTTGTGATTTTTTAAAACTCAAAAGTTCATATCGTCAGTGAATACATGTTAAGCACATCTAAAGTGAACAGAATGTGGTAATTAACATGTAACCATGGTATGATTTCCTATTGTTATTTCTCCCCTTTAATGAAAAACCTTAGTTTTAATTATTTTTCTCCAAAAATAAATTATACATTTGCTTATGATGGTGTGTTTTTTATTGCAATATTTTTAAAATGTCCTGAAGACTCCAAGAAACTATATTAATCTTTTTAAAGTTTTTTTAATGAATGCAATTGAAAATTCTAGATTTAGTATAGATTTAACTTTTCCTATTTTTCCTTCATTCTTGTACTAGTCTGAGTATTACTTTGAAATAAGGTCCATGCAGGAAAAAAAAATAAGGAAAATACATCTTTATAAATAAAGGCTTATGCATCTCTCATCCTTACACATACTTAAAACACGCACACACACACACAGTTCTTAACACCTGGGTTGTAAAATAAATGTAGATTATTTTGATACAAAACTATGCCCCAGCTGTTAAATCATATCTGCAATTTCAGTAGTAGATGGAAACTGTGATACATTACAGCAGTGCCTCATTTGTGACAGTTTGGTTTTACAGTATTTTGAACTTTTTAAAAAATACCTTTTATTGGTCAGGCTTTTTCTAATAGGAAGAGACAGATCTGAGGAAAACAGGTAACTTATACCAAATGAATTAATTGGAATGGATTTTTTTCAATAAATACCTGTTTTTAAAAGGAATACGTGGAGACAATCAACTTGTTAATTTACAACTTGATTTCAGATTTTTTGCTTAGTTAACTTGTAGCTTGATAGTAAGTGTTGCTTATGGCTCAGTACGAGCTAAAAAGTTTTCATTATGAAGAAATGCAGTAGTGATCCTATAATATTTTGGAAAAAATATTAAAATACAGTTATCTCTTGGTATCCATGGGGGAGTTGGTTCCAGGACCTCCTGCAGATACCAAAATTGGCAGATGCCCAAGTCTCTTACATAAAATGGCAAATGAATGCATACAGTTGGCCCTCAGCACCTGTGGTTTCCCAGCCGTGGATTGGAAATACCGTTTTCAATCCCCAGTTGGCTGAATACATGGATGTGAAACCTGTGGATACAGAGGGCCGATCACGTGTGTGTGCATGTGCATTCAGAAAAGTGCACATATCATAAGTGCTTGGTAAATGTTCATCTGTGAAACCAACACCCAGATCGAGACAGAACCCCACTGGCACTTCCGAGGCTCATCGTGCTGCCTTCCAGGTATTCCCCCTCCCACTCGCCCCTCCCACAGGCAACCGCTGTCCTGATTTCCTACAGCATAGGTTGGTTTCATCTGTTTTGATGCTTTATACATGTGAAGCTGTATGTTTGCTTTTGTGGTTTCATTTTAACTCAAAAAATGTGAGATTAACCCTTATTGTGCATAATTATTGATCACCTAAATTGGGGCCGTTTTGCCCCTCAGGGTGAATTTAGCAGTATCTGGAGGCGTTGTCACATCTGTGGGGGGTGGGTGCTATAGCCATGCAGCGGGCAGAGATGAAGGATGCTGATAAACACCCGACAATGCAAAGGACAGCTCCCACAACAAAGAATTATTTGGTCCACTGCATTACCCCGATCCCATTTTATCACCTTGCTTTCTAACAGAAGAGAGAAAGAGTACCGAGAAGCAGTGACTGCCAATTAAAATTTGTTTCCTGAAATGCTAGGGCAAGATTTATGTGGGAAATGTACCCAAGGGACTCTTAACTGATAACAGTAGAAAGTGACTATTATGTGGCAAGAAAACAACATATTTGCTTGATTAGGAACCCTGAAGAATGAACTTGTAAAATAACTCATTTTAAACAAATTAGCTACTTTTTAACATAAGCCTGAGCCATTGAAATTTTTATATTAGACATGTCACTGAAAAAATTGTGTGTGTCCTGACCTGTGTGGCTTGGTTGGGCATCACCGCAGCAAAGCAAACCGTCACTGGTTCAGTTCCCAATCAACACATGCCTGGGTTGTGGGTTCAGTCCCCAGGCAGGATGCATACAGGAGGCAGCCGACTAACATTTCTCACGTTGGCATTTCTCTCCCTCTTTTTTTGTCCCTTCCCCTCTCTCTAAAAATAAAAGCTTTCAAATATATATACATAAGTTTTGGGGAAATGGAAGTGCAGGCATCAGGTCGCAGCAGCTAGTGTTCAGGCCCAGCACTGGAACTTGGCTGTGATTCACATACACTCTCCTATAGTCATTATCAAAAAGTTTACTTAAGTGATTAAAATTTCAAGGAGTTGCAGAATTTAAGCTTAAAGACTATTCAAGTTGACTAATATTGCCACATTTCATAGGTAAACTTTGGAAATTATTCATTGAACTCTTTAATCTTTGAATTTCTTTGAAAACGTGCTGAAATATTTAGATACTCAATTATAGAAGCTATACTTCAAATAGTACAGTTCTCTGGCTTCAAGTTTAGAACTTTCATGTCCTTAGGCTTCTCTCATTTGTAACATCAACATAAATAATCCTTACATTAGAACAAAATTTTGCTTTTGATTTGAACTTTTTTTTTTTTCTTCTTATGAGTGGTTCTCTTTGCTCCAAAGCAGCATTTATCCATCTTGGCACTATTGATGTTTTGACCAGAGGACTCCGTGTGGGAGTGATCCTATGCTTTGCAGCATGGTTAACAGCATTCTAGGCCTCGCCTCCAGGTGACACTAACCGCTAGTCATAACAGTGTCTTTGGACTTTGCCAGGTTTCCCTGGAGAGCAAAATGTTCATCTGAAAAAAAAATTTTAACCAGGTGTCCAGACGATCCTATTTCTTCATTAATATAAAACTTGGTTGACACATTATTTTGAAGTTGATTATATACTTGTATACGATTCTTCTGTATTTTTTGTTGATTTAAGTTGTTCCTCCCATTCCTGGCAAAAAGGGACCCAGCTCTCTACAAAATTTAGACACAGCACTAGTCTCGCTCACCTTTTCATTACTAGCCAGGACATTCTACACTTGCGTAAGTTTTTGTCTGCCCTCCGCACCTTCTGTCAAAAGAACAGGTGTAATCTACAGCTTAATTACCCAGAAGATTCAATTCAGGCTTTGAGCATTTGACTTCCAGTCATTTTATTGGCAATTGTAATCACTTAAAACCATGTTGCTACTATAAAGCTATACTAATTAAAATAGAGTGATACTGGTGCAAGGATAGATGAACTGACCAATGAGTGGGGGGAAAAAGTCCAAGAAACAGACCTGCATATAAGTGGTTGGTCACCTGATTTATGTCAAAGGTGACACTGCAGTGCAGGGAGAAAAGGATCCTTTCAATATATATTCCTGGGTCAATTGGATGTTCATATAAGAAAGAGAATATTTTTGCTTTTACCTTACACCATAAACAAAAATCACTTTGAAATGGATTGCAAACTCAACATGAAAGATTAAAAAAAGCATTTAGTGGAACAAAAAGACCTTTATGACCTTAGAGTAGGCAGAATTTTTAAAAGCAGGACATTACACTAACCATATAAGGGAAAAATTTACTAATTTTATTAAGAATTTTTAATTCATGAAAAATATGAAGAAAACAACCAACAGAACTCAGATATGTGTCTGGCAATGTAGCTATATATGTGTGTGACCAGAGGACTCGGATACAAAATATATATATAAAGAACTAAAATTGGTAAGCAGAAAACCAAGAGAAAAACAAGATTTTTCTATAAAAAACATAAAGATTCCAAATGGCCAATAAACCTGAAAAGGTGCTCTACTTAATCATTGGAAATGCAAATTAAATGCACAATGCCAGACCAATAAATGTTCCCACAATGGCTAAAATGAAAAAGATACTAAGCATTTGCAAAGATGTGGAGCAACTACAGTTGTGATTGATGGGAAACGCAATGGTATGAACACTTTGGAACACTGGCGATTCTAAAGCCTAACATAGCACCTTGTGATTCCACTCAGGTGTAGACCCAGGAGAAATACATCTGTTTACCAAAAGACATACTCATATAAAATCCATATGTAGCAGCCAAAAGTAGGATACTCTTCAGTACTCATCAGCACAAGGATGGATATATTTGTGGCATATTCACATAGTGGTGTGTGTGTGTGTGTGTGTGTGTGTGTGTGTGTAAAATGAAAATGAATGCTTTATGACTACATGCAATAAAATGACACTAATGAAGGCTGTGTGAAAGAAGCCACTACAAAAGACTATATTATGTGTTACATTTTTTATATACGTTATATATGTAATTCCATTAGTGTGAAGTACAAAACAAACCTATGCTGCTAGGCATCAGATGACACTAACCCTTGGGAGGGGAAGGGTAGTGACCAGAAGGCAGGCCAAGGGGCTTCTAGGGTGTTGGCAGTGTTCTTTTTTCTGAACTCACGTGTTGACCGTTGGGTAATTTAGTTGTGCAAACTCGAGTTGTACGCTTATGTACACTTTTTTGTATGTATATTATGCTTCAATGAAGTATCTTTTTAAACTACAACCAGATCCACTCTTAAAACCATACTAGATCTATTCAAAGATAACTGGTACCATAAAAAGGCCCTTACACTGAATCCACTTTTTAAAAAGGGAATTAAAATTTACAGTTACATCAGAAAATGTTGAAACAAAATTATAGCTTTTCAAATATTTAGGTATAACTTCAACTATACATTAATTATTGGATTAAACAAAGCATCAAGTTTGCAAAGCATTTCATTTTTTCTATTGTATTATTAGACATATTTTACATTTTTATAACATGATTGATTTTTGCCAAGAACTTCAGAGTTTTCCAAGAAGTTCTTAATCCTTGGATAGTTAAATCATTCTTTTAGAGTTCCTTAGAAACATTGAGTCATTCTTGTATCCCTCTTTAATTATTAATCTAACAGTTTTATCATATTTGATTGCTTCATGAAATTTCATTTTTGTCACATGTGCAGTTTTACTTCAGTATATTTACATGAAATGCCATAGTCATTAAATATGCTTCCTTAAAATGAAAGCAGGCTAAACAGATAAATTTGCAATGCTACAGTCTGCTTTGATCTTACTGCCCTATATAAAAATAGAGGATACAATGGCTTTAATTTTGTTTTGTGTAAGATTATATTTAACTTACATTACTTCTTACATATTCTAGTATAAAG